TGTATTATAATACAAATGCTAAAATTCCTAACAATTTAGACAGGAAAGGAGATGCCGTTTTGACAGTACCGAAGAAAAGTAAAACCAATGTGCGCGGGAAACGAAAATACGCGGAGAAAAAAACGCAGGCTGCACAAATTAGACGCCGGCGTTCACGGCGACTGCGTGTACCAAGCAAACGGTTGAACTCGCCGGATGCAGTTCATGCCGGAATAGCTGAAAAGAAAGTAGTCAGAACAAGTTAGTTTTGCATGTTCTTGTAAATGTAACCACTTTCGTCTTAACTTCATACACTACTTTTATCGTGCAATTGTTAAGTTAGTTTCACTTCCCACTAATTCAGAATAATTTTGCTTTACCAGGACTTGCACCGAAGGCCGACAACAGTTTTTTCGTAATTTTTTCACTCCAGTGCTCATGAATTGTGTCTTAAAGTACTGCTTAATTATGTCAGAAGAAGTATATGCTAAAAAAAGCGACTAGTGGCTTTCGACCATTTTTTTCTTCCTGAAAATCGAATTTTTCTTTGTTTTTTTAGCTTTTTTAGCTTCCCATATTTTATCACTGCTTCTGAGATTTTTCGAAAATTTTGTTTGGTTTTTTAGAGGCATCGGACCTTATTTTAGTGCGTTGCTTATAAACAAATACCAAGTCAGGAATTTTTCAGTGCCCATCGTGTTCTGTATTCATTTCTCAAAATGTGTGTTTATCACTGATGTACATATCACGATAATTTCCTCAGTGTTGCTAATCTTCATATTACAATGACACTTTCATTTGATCTTCATTGTTTACAACTATTGTAAGCTGCATGTGCAAACATTCCGATAACTAATTTTAGCAGCTTTTAATGAAACTAACGTGTAAATTCTTTAAAATCGAGCAATACTTCAGGATTTGTCTACTGACAGCAATAAGGTTCAAGTGAAGTATCGGACATGCCTCCAAGTTTAAGACGGTATGCGTCTTGTTTTCAGATTCGGGAAAAGCCGAGCAAGAACATGCTGCCGAAATTCAGGAGGCGGAAAATTTTAAAGGGGCACGAAGTACTGCGGAAGTGTGCACAAAGGAGAATCAGCCGAAGAAACCTTCAGCAGTTTCCCACAGACTCTTTGCATTTCGCCAGAAATCTTCAGCAGTTCCTCAGAAGTTCGACGCGGTTCTCCAGGAAACTCAAAAACTCTCTGTGCTTTCTTCTGCAAACAGTAATCATCAGATGCGCGAAGTTTCCGAAACTGCACCCGTTTCGTATTCACACAAGGCGGCAGAAAGCGTTCCGCTTGGGGTGAACCCGTCTTCACTGTCAGTATCCAAATACACGAGCCGAAAAGACGTGGATGATTTGCTTGAAGAAGTGGACAGTGCTCTAGCATGCATCCCCAACCGACAGGATTTCATCAATTTACGGCAAAATATCGAGCATCATTTAACAAATTTGCAAAGGGAAAATAGCCGGAATCGAAAGATGATACGCCAGTTGAAAGCAGAGCTAGATAATCTGGCGAGCGATGAAGTGGTTGCTCGTTGCGCCAAGTTGATGAAACAGAACAGTGAATTACGGGAGCAGAAGGTCTACACTGATATCCGATATGAGGCTCGTGAGGCGGAGATCCGCAAGCTCAAGGAAGAAATTAAATTTCTACAAAAGCAAAACGGCTATTTGGATGAGGAGCAGCGGAACGATCTG